TAAGTTTGTGAAGTAATCCGGCAGAGCTAATCTACAAGTGGAACAGGGCGATGAAATGCTTCAGGACGACGACAGTTTTAAATATTTTTGCTCTATCATCTCCAACGAAGGCATCGTTGAACCAGAGTTAAATACGAGGATTGCCCTAGAATCGAATGTCTTTGGAAATCTGTCAAAAGATTGGGATGAGAAAGGAGTATTTCATTTCATAAAAATCGACCTACACATTGTCTTTGTCAGAAAAGCATTGCTCTTCGGTAAGGAGACAGCTGCTGACAAAGGGCGTCTGTTGAACTGTGTATAACAGCGTTGGCTTCAACGCGTAGTGAGGAAAAATGGCAGGACCATTTAAGGAATGACTGCATTCTCCTCCAGGCAAAGAGGATCTCAACAGATGTGGAGATTAAGAAAAGGATGTCGGTCCAGCTAGACAAATCGATTGAGCACAAACCATTTACTGCAGCCCGAGTATGCGAGTCGAAACTGGCAGTCGTCGACCGGGCCAAGTTGGCACGAAACATGAAGAATAACGTGGAGATAGGTCTGCCTTCGTAAATAAATATTTCCTTTTACGATGCAGCAACCGGTGCGTTTTGGCAAAATTGCTGAAAAGCTGCGAATACAGAAGATATCACAGGCCAGAGACGTTCTGCATATGCAAACTGTTCAAGGTGATGATCTCAAGAAAGATCTTTGCTGGTCGTTACAAAATCGTCATTGAAATCTGTTATTATTAGCGTGCGAAATAACTTTTCAATCTACAGTCGCGTCAGTTAAAATACATCCAGTCGAACCCGATTGTTTAAGCAACTTTTAGCCACCAATTCCATTTCGTTGTTAAGTGATAAGCTGCTCAATTTCATAAGCCAGCAAACTTATTTGTGGGTAAGGTAATCGTCGAGTGAATGCATTAGCTGTGCTTGGCACGTAGTGTCATGCAGCAAAACAAACCGCGAGGAAACCGTTATCGAATCTGTCATAGCTCCAATGAGTTGTCGCCTCAGATAATGGCAGAAGCATCGCACTAAGCTACAACTGGTAATGTTGAGGAAAGTAGTTTCGCCCACATCGTACAGACTATTTTTTCGTGACCAACGGAAACTGTTCGAAGTTTCTTTACCTTCGCGGTAAGCTTTGGTAAGAGGTCGTCTTCAGAAGGACAAATGCGGGTCTGAACTACAGTACTTAGTAGGGCACACAGTAAGCCGGTATACACATCACATAACTTAGACAAAGTATGATTAACGAGAACGATGTTTTGATGAAGTAGGGCGGAGCGAATTCAGCAGATCGACAGGCTAAGTCGCTTGATGACGAAGAGTTGCGTAGGACTGGTAAAAAGGAAAACCTGACTGCTGATGTACCCGCATCCGGTGTCCAAGTCACGAATGAGGGAAACAGCACAGATCGAAGAACATTTTACAGAATTTATCCACGTCCTAGAGTACTGTCGACAAGCATAAACGGACGAGTGCAATCTATATGTTTTCGAGATAACGTATATACGCCTGTGTGACCATCCAGTTCAGCGTGACCAGTAAGCCGGAAAGTGCACACGCTTGGTTTGAGGTGGACTTTGTAGATGCAAATGAAACAGTGACCAGCCATGCAGTCGAACCGAGCATTGAACGGTTGCGGTGATGCTGACGTTGACGTAACGTAAGCTGGCAACAGACTTGAAAGCTGGTCATCGTCCATCCTACACGCAGTTTGAGGTGTAATGGACCGTAGGGTGATCGGGCGTAGGGAAGCAACGGCATTCATGTTTACGTTCATTGCGGCGGCAATGCACGCGCAGATGACCGGACTGGCACAATTGATTGAGTGAGCGATTCATTGATTGGCATCGGCAGCGCGTGGCGAGAAATCCTGCCCACTGTCTTCTGGACGGCGCTATAGCGAGACGTCCATAGCATCATGCTGCGGCAGTAGAGGCTGAGGCTGAGGCTGAGGCCGAGGCAGAGCCAGAAGCAGAAGCAGAAGCGACAGAAGCGGCAGAAGGCAACGATCGCGCGCTAGTTTCTACCCGCCAAAAGCATTGATTCGGTCGTACGTAGCGCAACCGGTGGCCTGTGCGCTGCTGAGGTCGCCAACTTGACTTCCGCCGTTCCGTCCCATTCCGTTCAGCCGTTCCTGGTTCCTGGTTGTCCTGCTCGGTTGCCAACTCGTCGATAGCGACAGAACGCAACCAACGGTCTGCAACGCGTCACCCTGTCGTGTCGCCTGTCGCCGCCTGCACAACTGCACACGTCAGTGCTGGTCTTGTCGTGTAGCAGTGCCTGCACGCCCCCGTTCGCCTCAACAATCTGAGCGTCAGCAGCAGCAGCAGCAGCATCAGCATCAGCATCAGCAGCAGCAGCAGCAGCAGCAGCATTAGTATCCGTCGCCGTCGCCTTCGTCGTCGCCGCTGCCGCTGCCGCTGCCGTCGTCTTCGCCTTCATCATCGTCGCCGCCGTCGCCTTCGACTTACTGCTGTTTTAATCCGATTAGTCGTCGTCATAGTTTATATGCTGATTGAATCATTGCGGCTACACTGGAAAACAAGTGCCAGACTCACAGCCGCTCGTTCATTTGCCGTTCGTGGTGGCGCAGGCTCATCTCCGTTGCATGGACGAAACCGTCGACCGCCATCGTCGTCGCTTCAGTGGCGTTGTGACCAGTCGATCGTCGTCAGCTTTCAAGAGGACGAGTATGCCGTTGCGAAATAATGCCCCGCTTGTTTACTGCTACCCAGCGCCGCCGTTTCGGTCGTCGTCGATGCCAACGCACCGGACGGTCG